CGGGGCACGAACCCGCGTCCCCTGCATTGGCAGGTGGACTCTCAACCACTGCGCCACCACGGAAGCCCTGTTGTGAATATTTTTTAAGCCGACAGGTAGGTGCCAGGCTGGAAACACCTTCCCAACAGGTGGAAGGGGGAACTGCTCTCAAGCCCCCAGGCTGGGAGGCAAGTTGCAAAAGTTCAAAGATTGGGCTGGGCAGAAACTCTGGGCCAACTGGTTTAAGATCATGGCCTTTACAGTGAGACTTCAGACCTAGGCTCCATCACTTTGAGAAACGTATTCAAACTCTGTTTCCTCATCTGAAAAAGATGGGTAAAAAAATAACCACTTAATAGGATCGTTGTGAGGATTGAATGAGGAAATCTTGTATGACACTGGGAACCATCTAGTGTATATTAAATGCTCAATAAGTGTTAACTATTACTAATAGTAAAACCTCATTATTCCAGAGGCACAAAGAGGACAAACTTTCTGCTCAGAGTCAGTATCATGTCAGGATAGGCTGTGTTCTGATACCTACACCCTGGATCTATTCTTAGGAAGCTGCCCATAGTTCTTTTCTTCTCTGACAGGACTAATACTTTTTTTTTTTTTAAACAAGAGGAAGCCATTCCCCAGGCTTGGGAATTTCCAGGGACATTCTCAGGATCACACCCTTTTTTAGCCTCTAGCCCTACTTCCTCCAATGCCTTGCCCACCCAAGAGAGGACTCTCTGCTAGGGAAAGGGAGGACAGCCCAGCCTCTGGTGGGTACTCCTAACCTGTTGCCTTCCTGCAGTGCCTTCTCTGCTCAATACAATGGTGGGTGTCCTTTGCTCATGTCTGACATCTCATGACCTGCACTGTCCCATCTGGGGCTCAGAGCCTCAGCTGATTCTCAGTCAACTAGGCCTCTTCACAAGGAATATTCCCCAGATCTTATGCCCTCATTCAGGACACTTGCAACATTGTCCCAGCACTCCTTCTCTCAGCACTTTATTCAGGCTGATGCACTCCTGGTATAGACAGGGTCTTGTGGAAAATGATTGTTAGCATTTACAGAGAAACTGTCCTGTCCCAGGTAATCAATGCCATATTTTACCCTCTCAACCAACCTGCAAGTTAGGATTGGAATCTCCATTTTGCAGAGGAAAAAATCATGTGTTAATGAGTTAGAATAATTTTGTTAATAAATTTATTTATTTTTGGCTGCGTTGGGTCTTCGGTGCTGTGCTCAGGCTTTCTCTAGTTGCGGTGATCAGGGGCTACTCTTCATTGCAGTGTGTGGGCTTCTCATTGCATTGGCTTCACTTGTTGCAGAGCACAGGGCTTTAGGAGCGTGGGCTTCAGTACTTGTGGCACACAGGCTCAGTAGTTGTGGTACACAGGCTTAGTTGCTCTGCAGCATGTGGGATCTTCCCAAACCAGGGATTGTCCCCAGCATTGGCAGGCGGATTCTTAACCATTGTGCCACCAGGGAATTCCTAGAATAATTTTTACTTTATGTAACATATATGGGATCAGATGGACCAGGTTGTACAGCAAGCTGTTTTTGTTTTTTGTTTTGTTTTAATAATATTGAGGTATAACTTAGACATTTAACTTTTTTAAAATAAATTTATATATTTATTTTGTTTAATTTTTGGCTGCGTTGGGTCTTCATTGCTGTGTACAGGCTTTCTCTAGTTGTGGACAGCGGGGGCTACTCTTCCTTGCATTGCACAGGTTTCTCACTGTGGTGTCTTCTCTTGTTGTGGAGCACAGGCTCTAGGTGCGCAGGCTTAGTAGTTGTGGCTCACGGGCTCTAGAGCACAGGCTCAGTAGTTGTGGCGCACGGGCTTAGTTGTTCCGCAGCACGTGGGATCTTCCCGGACAAGGGCTGGAACCCGTGTCCCCTGCATTGGCAGGCAGATTCTTAACCACTGCACCACCAGGGAGGCCCTAGACATTTAACTTTTGCTTATCCTATATGTAACAATGACATCATATTATAGTTTGGATTTGCATTTCTTAAAATACAAGTGTGATTAACCACCTCTCAAATGTTTTTGGCTTTATTTTTCTATTCTCTGGCCAAGCTAATTCTCAAGGGATCAGGGGAGATAGCATTTTATGAGTCATCAGCATATAATATATAGATGGTATTCAAAGTCATGCAAGTGAATGAATAAGATTCTCCAAGGCAGTGAGTGTAGTTAGGCAGCCCTAGAGCCACTGAACCACAGAAAGTCAGTGAGATGAGGGGGAACCAGCAAAGGAGACTGTGAAGAGTAGTCGGGAGCAGAAAATTTGAAAGCCAAGGAGGGGAAAAGGACTAGCTACGTGAAATGTTGCTGATTAAGAGAAGGAAGATGGGGCCAGAAATGCTATTGGATTTAGCAAGCTGAAGGTCACTGGTGACTTGGCAAGAGTAGTTTCAATAAAGTATTGTGAGTGAGAGGGCTGTATCCAACAGATGGGAAAATTTTGATGTAAAAGAGAGGAGGAAAGAATTGCTGAAAAGATGTCCTTAAGTAGGGGCAGAAATCTAGTAAACAGCTGAAACGGCTAGCCACAGAAGGCAGCAGAGGTGGTTATAGCTGATGATAGCTGGGTAGATGTAGTGGGAGCTTGTGAGATTCTCTTCTGGTTGTTTCTATCTTGCCCCTCAACTGAGCAATGCCCCATTCTGAGAAAACCTTTAAAGTTTAAACCACAGCGTAAGCCTCTCTTTTGAGGTCATGGAGTTGTAATGAACTTGTACAGGAGATGTGGGTGGGAAAGGTCTGGGCAAGACTTTCCCTAGGGTAGGACAAGACAGGATCAATGTTGGGTAGCAGCAGTTGCACAGCAATGGTGCCATGCTGCAGGATGCAGGAGAGACAAGTGTTGCAGTTTAGTTTTCACTTTGTGTTCCTTGATCAATTCTCACAATTACCAATCTTTTATTTAGACCTTGCTTCCTGGAAATACAAAAACATCTAGGTAGTAGTGTTAAATCTGTCAAGCTGACCAGTTAAGTAATGTACTAATAACCTGAGGCTCATTTATAATGAGCCTGTACATTTCACCACCTTAAAAGCATACAGGAAAATTCACTGGTTCACAAACATCAACTGCAACAACCTAAAGCCTGGAGATACTGAATTAGAAGGAACTAAAGTTGTCAGTGTACTGTACCTGGCCATCACCTCCCTTCAAGCAGCCAAGTTGGACAGGTCATGGAATGCCATTAGAGTACTTGTCACAAAAAGAAACCTGTCAAACACCCAACCCATTAAGTCAAGAGGACTGATTATACATGCAGACTGCTGCACTTTCTCTGACTTTGGATTTGTGCCTAAGTCAATAAACTATACGCACATCAGAAAAAGGATACAGACTTCCCTGGCCGTCCAGTGGTTAAGGCTCCATACTCCCTATGCAGGGGGCACAGGTTCAATCCCTGGTCAGGGAAGTAAGATCCCACATGCCTCACCGTGTGGTCAAAAACAAAACAAAACAAAACAAAACAAAAAACGGCTGCAATCCTATAGACTTCATGTGCCCATATGCAGTTTTATGCTAAATTTATTCTTACAATTCAGGCAATTAAAAAAAGTAACTCTAATTAATGCACTCATAATTTCAGCTGATTGCTAATCTAAATGACCAAAATTGATAGACTAGTCCTGCACATCAACAGCCATGTTTTTGAGGAATGGGTATTCATTTATTTTCCACAGTAGCAAAGAGAGGTCACCAGCGATTCTGCTCCAAAACATGGGAACTGTAGTCTGCCACTGCAGAAGAAAAACCTATTAACAAAAAGACAACTGATCTGATGGTACTGAACATCTGCAGCCTAACTGTTAATCATGTATCTCAGGGGTGGGCAGCTTTTTTTCTACGAAGCGCCAGATAGTAAATATTTTAGGCTTTGCAGGCCATATAGTCTCACTTGTAACTATGCAACTCTGCTATTGTATGGCAAAAGCAGCAAAAGACAATACATAAATACTATTTATGTACACTAAAATTTGAATTTCATATAATTTTCACGTGTCGTGAATACACTTCTTTTGATTCTTTTCTCAGTTATTTTAAAAATGTTAACAACCACCCTGCTCACAGATCCAACAAAATCTGGTGGCAGGCCAGATTTGGCCGGTGACCCTGTTTTACCTGATAGACAATTTCTGGTCACTGATGATGACCACATGTCCAAATTTCGGTAAGGTTACCCAACAGAGACAATTTAGACAGAAGATTAGAGATTAGTTCCACGATCCTTATTCTGCTATCAGCAGAAGGCAAACAAACAAGTGTTACTGACCTTCTGCAGGTCTAACAGACTCTCCACGTACCTCGCCTCTGGCTATACCTGAAAATCATCCAGGTAAAAAAGACACCCAGCGACCGGAAAATGCAAGGCTTCAAGGAAAAGCCATCAAATCAAGGTGGACAAAACATCGGGCAGACACTACGGAGCCCTCGGTCTTCAGGCAGAGCCGTCAAACAACGGCTCCAAAATCCAGGTTACACCTTTCCAACACGTCCCCCAGCTGAGCCGGCTCCTGCCATCCAGCGGGGCCGCAGACTCGTAACCACACACACACACCCCCGACCCGGCCACGCTCGGAAGCCGCCGGCGCTGCGTGGGCCAGGACACCCGGTTCGACCGGAAAAGCCCCTTGTTCCGTCTCCTCCCGGTCGCCACAAGGCGCAGAAAACCTCCCGCGGGCAGTCACGACGTCCTCCTCGCGCAAGGAGGGCAAAATGAGAAAAGAGATAAGCACAGAGAGGCACCAAGAAGGAAGCCGCGCTTCCGACCACCCCCTACACGTCAGCTACTCAGACAACCGCTCGCATCGCGACGGGGATGAATCGCCGGCCCTCCCTAGGACCATGATTCCGGAGTCTCGCGGGACGTCGCTGTTCCGCGCCGCTCAGGTATGGGGACATCTCGCGGGAGTTCCCCGCCGGGGCGCAAGGGTCGGGCGGCCTCGCGGCTCCGCCCCGGTATTTCCCGTCCGCCGGCCCGTTTCGCGCAGGCGCGCGCGGCTGCTGCGAGTTGGCGCGTCGCGCAGGCGGCGGCGGCATGGGACTGAGCCGGGTGCGGGCAGTCTTCTTCGACTTGGACAACACGCTCATCGACACTGCCGGGGCAAGTCGGAAGGGCATGTTGGAGGTAACGTTCCGACTACCGCTTCCCTCCGGCGAGCCCGGCGCTCCGCCCCGCGCGCTCCCTCGCCCCCTTGGGCCTCCGGCCCACTGCCCTGTCGGCTCCCTCCGCGCCGGCGCCCCTGGTCCCGGAAGCCCCTCGTGCCGGCCCGCGGCGGCGGCCCCGCTCAGAGAGCTGGGAGGCTGCGATCTGAGGGCGCTCCCAGCGCTCGGGCTCCCGGAAGGATGTCGCCAAACTGCCACAAGGGCAGAGTCGCCTCCGCACAGAAAGGCGGTCGCGCGCCAGGCGCCTGGCTTTCTGCCGGGACAGGTTTGGAACTGCCGGGACGAGCGGGCACCCGGCTCTCCGGGACTGCCCGCGGGAGGATGGTCTCCCACCGCGTGTTCTTCGTTGGACCTTTGAGCCTGGACTTTATCGACTCGAGGGAGTTTTCTCCAAAGGTGTTCCTGCCGTGGGTGTGACCCTCAGTAGGTTTACTTTCACGAGGCCTTGCTCCGCTGCATCCTCCCCTTTCTGTACCTACTGATGCTCTTTCAGACCTTTCCCGTGCTGTTCAAGACCCGAAGCCATCCCTGCTTTGTTTCGTCTGCATTCAGCTTTAAAGAGAAAACTAAGGATTACCGTATCTGAAAAACCCACTTTCAGAAGCTAATCCTTCCAGCCCTGAGTGCCCCGTCCTCTTCATGCTTCATTAGTTAGGTTGTGTCTCCCTGGATCTTCAGCCTCTTCGTCCTCTCTTGGTGCATTCCACACCTGCTGCGTTTTCGGATCTGTCCAATACTCTATTTTTTTTTTTTTGCGGTACGCGGGCCTCTCACTGTTGTCGCCTCTCCCGTTGCGGAGCACAGGCTCCGGACGCGCAGGCTCAGCGGCCATGGCTCACGGGCCCAGCCGCTCCGCGGCATGTGGGATCTTCCCGGTCCGGGGCACGAACCCGCGTCCCCTGCATCGGCAGGCGGACTCTCAACCACTGCGCCACCAGGGAAGCCCCTCCAATACTCTATTTTTATTTGTTTGATAAAGATGTTTTTACACTCTCTTATGATACTCCGTAAGCAATATAATCAATGTTTAATCATATAGTCAGCTTGCACATTTCTTGGGTTTGAATCTTGGCTCCACAATTTTCTCTGAGATCTCGGGCAAATAATTCAACTCAGTGCCTCAGTTTCTCATCTGTATTACAATATGACACTAGGGCCAACTTTAAAAGACTGTTTTGGGGAAATAATTGAGATACAGTGTATAACAATTTAGCAGAATGATTCTCCAAAATATGCATTGGAAAAATGTTAACGATTATTTTATACAATTATTTCAAAAAATAAAAAAAGGGCAGCAAACCTATGTCAATTTTTGAGCTTAAAAAAGAAATAAACAAATGTGAATAATTCATGCAGAATCTTTTTAAATGCCCAGTACTTTAAAAAGAACGCTTCCCTTGGACCCTTCTTCACAAGATATTACCTCTCTTGACAGCCATGTTTTTCAAGAGAAATCTATACCATTATCTCCATGTTTCTACTTCCTGTGTATTCCCAAACCACTGTAGTGTGGTTTTTTTTTTTTTGGTTTTTGCCACTAGAATGAAATAAACTCACCATCTATAGGCACCTCCCAAATTGCCAGAATCCTGGACATTTTAAGTCTTAATTACTTTACCGAAGTATTATACACTATTGACTGTCCCTTCATGCCTTTGATCTTGACCTCAGGGCCACCATCCCCTGCTATATTGTCTCCAGTATCTCTAGCTGCAAACTGTACATATTTACCTGTGTGTTTTTGGCAGGCCAAGTCCAGTGTGTTGTCATTAAGTTCTTGTTTTATTCTAATCCTTGCTATAGGCCAAGAGTTTAGGCTTTAAAATTAGACAGTTGAGTTTGAATCACAGCTCTCCCAATACCTAGGTGAAAGCACCCGAACAAGTTAGTTAACTGCTCTAAGCCTCAAATCTTTAAATAGTGATATTTGAATAGTGAAATTAGTTCTCAAAAACCCTATCAGCTAGGTTTAATGTAATGCATGGGAAGTACATACAGTCCAGTGTTCCAGAATTATACCACCATCCACTCTGTCACCAATTCTGTTATCTCCTGCACATCCCCTCTGCCCTTGTCTTAGTTAAAGCTGGACTTGTCTCTCACCAAGACTGTTACTATGGTCTTGATGCCAGGCTTACCATGTCCAGTTCATCCTCCACATTCCAACTCACATGCCCACAGCTAAATAGTGAGCTTTTTAAGAGGGAACAGACTGTCTTATTCATCACCCTGTGTTTGACACAGGGTGAATGTTGAATGGATGGATAAAAGTCCAGTTCCCCAGACTTGGTTCTCTTACCATTTGCTTTATAAATATTCTATGAAATGTGCAGAATTAACTATACGAGGATCTAGAATCGCTTTATCACATAAGAATACAACACCCACAAATGTTAGCCTATTCGAAAGTAACATGCCAGCTTTCTGAATCACTCTGAATGATTTATGAAAAGAGGAAGGGGGAAAGGTCCAGCCATTGCCTTGGGCTTGAGGAAAAGGAGTCATATACTGACTATATATCAGCTTTAATTTTTTTTCTTTTTTCAGCCTCTTTTTTTTATATATATACAATTTTTAAAGGTTACTTTCCATTTACAGTTATTACAAAATATTGGCTATCAGCTTTAATTTATTTTTAAATCATCTGGGAATGCTATTTCCACCCTTTCAGTGTCACTAGTCAAGAGGAAGCCTTCTCCAGAAAACTGGGGTTTCTCAGAGAGCAAAGCAAAAAAGATTTCTGCTTTTTTTTTTTTTTTTTTTGGTGGTACACGGGCCTCTCACTGTTGTGGCCTCTCCCGTTGCAGAGCACAGGCTCTGGACGCGCAGGCTCAGCAGCCATGGCTCACGGGCCCAGCTGCTCTGCGGCATGTGGGATCCTCCCGGACCAGGGCATGAACCGGTGTCCCCTGCATCGGCAGGTGGACTCTCAACCACTGCGCCACCAGGGAAGCCCAAATTTCTGCATTTTTGAGTTTGCTTTTTAATGGGTATGACAGTGAACATAATAAATGTGCTTTTATTTATAAGTGTATCAGAAAAAGTGGAGGGGAGAAAGAATTGCATTTTTAAAATAGGTTGGTCAGATTAGGCCACATAGAGTAGATGATGTTTGAACAAAGACTTGAACTAAAACTAACAGGAGGGGGCTTCCCTGGTGACACAGTGGTTGAGAGTCCGCCTGCCAATATAGGAGACACGGGTTCGTGCCCCGGTCCGGGAAGATCCCACATGCCATGGAGCGGCTGGGCCCGTGAGCCATGGTCGCTGAGCCTGCACGTCCGGAGCCTGTGCTCCACAATGGGAGACGCCACAACAGTGAGAGGCCCGCATACCGCAAAAAAAATAAATAAGTAACAGGAGGGCTGCTTGAATTGTTAGTCTGTATGCAGCCATCATGTTTTGTGAGCATGTATTTTTTAAAATAGTTTTATTTAGAATTCAGCCACTTCATATCTTTATCATATGTGTTATATGGTTCCCACACTGGCCCTCAAAAAGTCTTTTTAAATCACAGCTAAACACTAGTACTAATGGTATTTAAGTCTGGGTCCAGAAAGTAGGAAGTAGGACAGAGTTTCCTTTTTGTATGTGTTGAGATAGAGCCTTAAATAGAGTTTTGAAGTAGATGGAATTTGAGTTTATATTGTGTCTAGAAATTGATCTCCCCTCTCTCACTATCTTAACTTTCCCTTCTTCAGGCCTGTACGTGCCTAGTGGGCTCATTCTACTCAGAATCTTTTTCAGGCCTGACTTACCCTTATGCAAAATGTCATCACACCTCTAAATTAGAGATCTTTTCCCTCCATCCCCAATTAAATTTAGACTCCCATTCTCTCAGTGCAGGTGTTAGGAGAGTTTGCACCAGTAATGTGGACTAATTCACCTTAGGTATTATTTCTGTTTGAACTAATACTAATATGTGAATGACTGATAAACATCTTTCCCAAAGCTGTTAATATTATTAAAATGCCACTTGTTGTTCCAAATGAATATGTAATTAGTTTCTGTGTGACAAAATGGCAAAGTTAATTCAGGGAATGTAATGGGAGACAGTTTTGAAACTTGGGAGCAATATACTTCTACAAGATCTCCCCTTTAAGGTGAGCTAATCTGCTTTTTCAGATCCCAAGAATGTGCTTAACAAACTGCCAATTGCAGTTTATAGGAAACTGGATCTTTCCTGGGAGCTTTCATTTATGAACTGTGAGCCAGTTCCTGTTGAATCGCAAGTACTGTGGAGTCCTAGAGGCCTGTGTCCTTTTATTGTGTAGCAGTAGCGTTGCTAAAACTGTATAGTGACCTTCAATCGTAGCTCAGGAGTAATTTAGTTGACATTGCTGGAAAAGATGGTGACATAACTATGGAGATTGAAAAGGCTTGATTTGTTCATTGAAATTTAACTTTATAAAGCAAGAAATTTCAAAGTTTTCCCTTCACCTAAAATTCTTAGGGCTGGTTTATTTTTCTCCAACTAGTAAGACTTTTCTTAACTATTATGTTTTGTGATTAACACAAATAGCTTGAAAAATATTTCCTTTACCTTTGGTGTGGTTTTTATACTCTGGAGGAAGAATGTGTCTCTTCAGCTCTTTCCCCTTTTCAGTAGGTGAATTGAGTGTCTGGTGTGAGTAGCAGATCATTTATTCCCTATAGAGTTTAGGGTAACAATTTAACTTGACTTTGACTGCTTCACTTCAACAACAGAAAATCTTTAGCCCCAGCTGTGTGCATTGCCCTCATCCTCAAAGATCCAAAATTGCCTTGGCATGATCGGCTTTCCCAGATGTCCCTGGGACAGGCGGTTTCAACTGCAAGCAGTTCACTTGGAAGGTGACCCTAGGAAGCACTGTAGGGGGTGGTGGAGTCAGATAGGGAAGGGAAGGAATCTAATACAGGCTGTGTTCATGAGCAGGGAACTGTGTGAACGGTTGGGGACTCTGGGAGACACATGTAGACATACTTTACTTGTCCCTTCCAAGGGGCAACCCACCAATATCTACTTCTTATTGGTTGAGACCTGCTCCTTGGGCTATACTCTGGCTCCAGCCTATGTGCATGGGTGCCCCTATGGCGAGATAAAGCTCCCAGGCAGAGAAGCCCAAGCACTTTTGCAGTCTGAAGGCTTTGGCATGTATGGGCATAAGGTGTGCCAAGGGAATTTCGGTAGCTACAGCCTACCCAGCCTCATCTCTAGCACTCGCCCTCACTTGCCTTCCACTGTGGCTGAACTCAGCTTCTTGCCTTTCCCAGTTCACAGAATTCCAAGTACTGTGTCTTTGTGCTGTTCCTTCTGTCTAGAATGATTTTATCCTCCTCCCATCCCCACCTTTGGGCTTGGTAACGCCTTGGTTTAAATGTACCTTCCTCTGCCCTCCTTACCCAACAACCTGGGGTTGCTCCTTACATTTTATTTCCAGTTTTTTGTGTGACTGTCAAGGCACTCAACCCAGCATTTGTGGTGGTTATTTTCCCCACCCCAGATAAGTTCATGAGGACAAAGGGTCCAGTCTCCAGTGCCGAATACATAGTATAAAGGCAAGCATGTGGCCTGTGGAGTTAGGCAAGTATGGGCTTAAATCTCAGCTGGGGCAAGTTACTTATCAGGTCTAAACTTCCATTCCCTCATCTCAGAAAGGAAATTCCCTTGCAGAGTTGCAGGAAAGATTAGAAATAATATATGTGAGTACTGGGCATAATGCTTTGCCACATTAACGTCTTGGTAAGAAGATAGGCCAAAGGGATAAGAACCTAATCTCATAAAAAGTCAAGATAAAGAGCTGTGGGAACATAAGAAAGATTATGATAAGGGATTCAGAACCAGTGTGACAAAGAGGGAGACTCAGAACTACTTGAAGTTTTTTATCTGGAAACCTAATTTCGGAAGAAGCACCATCATTAAACTGCTGAGGTCACAGAACATGCTGATTCCATTAGAGCTACATATACCTGTTTTTAAAAGTACAGAATTAGGTCCCCTTTAGGACCTAATTTAGGACTTCAGAACGTAAAATGGATAAGATGAGGAAAGGTTAGGTGAACTAGCGTTATTTCTGGGAAGAGTCTAAATATCAGTTGTTAGAAATTTTTTGGTTTTGGTTTTTTTTTTTGCGGTACGCGGGCCTCTCACTGTTGTGGCCTCTCCCATTGCGGAGCACAGGCTCCGGACGCACAGCCTCCGGACGCACAGCCTCAGCGGCCATGGCTCACGGGCCCGGCTGCTCCACGGCATGTGGGATCTTCCCAGACCGGGGCACGAACCCGTGTCCCCTGCATTGGCAGGCGGACTCTCAACCACTGCACCACCAGGGAAGCCCAGTTGTTAGAAATTTTATGTTTTGCTAAATATAAGGAAAAAAATGCCAAAACCATAACTTTTAGTTTCAGTGTTGAACTGTAGAATAATGCAACCACCAGGGAAGCCCAGTTGTTAGAAATTTTATGTTTTGCTAAATATAAGCACAGTTTTATTTTCATGTCTTCATGACCAGAATGAAAGGTGGTAGACTTAAACTGACAAATGAGGGATTTTTATTTTATATATATATATATATATATAAAGAATCTTCTTAGAAAAAATTGGTAAAAAAATACGAATGAGTTGTCTAGAAAGGTTGGGAAATCTTCACTCTTGTGTTCTTTAAAAATAAGACCAATTCCCAAAAGAAATGGTGTGGTAATAGAGCTTCCTTAAGACAGAGGAGTAGAGTTAGAATCTGTCTGTGCTCTGGGTTTATAGGCTCACAGGATAAGTATTAAAGACATGAAGTATGTTGATGGAGTTATTTTCCTTTATTTAGGTGATAAAGCTCTTACAATCAAAATACCATTACAAAGAAGAGGCTGAAATCATCTGTAACAAAGTTCAAGTTAAGCTCAGCAAGGAATGTTTTCATCCCTCTAAAAGCTGCATTACCGACCTCAGGACTTCACACTGGGAAGAAGCAATCCAGGAAACAAAAGGTGGTGCGGCCAATAGGAAATTAGCTGAAGAATGTTATTTCCTGTGGAAATCTACACGTTTACAGCATATGACACTAGCAGAAGATGTCAGAGCCATGCTCACTGAACTTCGAAAGGAGGTCCGCCTACTTTTATTAACAAATGGAGAACAACAGACCCAGAGGGAGAAAATCAAGGCTTGTGCCTGTCAGTCCTATTTTGACGCTATTGTTGTAGGTGGAGAGCAGAAAGAGGAGAAACCGGCACCTTCCATATTTTATTACTCCTGTGATCTCCTTGGAGTACAGCCTGGGGACTGTGTCATGGTTGGTGACACACTAGAAACCGATATACAAGGAGGCCTCAATGCAGGGCTGAAGGCAACAGTCTGGATAAATAAAAATGGAATGGTGCCGTTGAAGTCATCCCCCAGGCCGCATTATATAGTTTCTTCTGTGCTAGAGTTACCTGCTGTCTTACAAAGTATAGACTGCAAAGTCAGTGTGTCTGCTTAAAGCACAGAAAAGGGTATGCTTACGAATTTTAGGGTCAAATTACAGAGTTTTAACTAAGAAAAGTTAAGGCATTCTATATACTATGACCTAGTTCTAAGGATAATTATACTTGTCATGTAATGGCTAACCAACCATTGACTGGTATTTATATCTGAAAATCCAGAGTACCTTATTATAAGTTATTTTTAGTAGGGTAACCCAGAAAACTTGAGGAAGTATATTTGTTAATCTGTGGCTTGAGATTTTTCTTAAAAATTACTTTGTTAATCTCTTAGCATCTTGGATCTATGAAGATACCAAGGAGGATAACTTATACATGGATGCACAAATACAGATTTTATGTTTTGGCTTAAAAATAGGTATTTTTTAAAAAATAGTTATTCTAAAACATATATACTAGAGATTTATTAGAGCAGTTGGATCTGGTTAATATAAGTACCAACTCACAAATCAAGGCATTTCACAGTGAAATTATTTTCGTATTTTCTGTTTCAAAAACATGCACCATATTTTTGCCTACTTTGAACGTATACTTCTCTTATGAATCTAATTTTTCTGCATTACCTTTGGGGTGTGGGGGGGTAATTTTCCTATGGTGTGTACATGACCAATAAATTCCTCCAGTAAAAAAGCTGTTAAAATCAGCATATGGTGCTCCTTTTCCGTTACATTTTCACATCTTTCCAGGGTGAGCTTATAGGTTCCTGTTAGTCTTTACCTCTCATGGAAGTACTTTTACTATCTTTTCCCAGGTACGCAGTGAGGTTGAGGGACCAGTCTGTCTTGCTGTGGATGAGTGCAAGCCACATGGCCCCAGAAGTCACTTTCCTGGAAGTTGCCTTGGTGTGGCCAATCATGCTGCCCGCATCTGTTGTCTGCTGACTGGATAGTTTCACCCATATGATGAAAACTAATAGAAAATTAGGTTTTGCTATGAACCATTTCCAGAGTGCCATACTTGACTGGCTCTTTTTGGTGTTACCATCTGCCTTAAGTCTCCTGTTTTTCAAATTTTGGGAACTATGTGATTGTTTCACAGATTTCTATATCCATTTCAGAGTTTGCTTTGAGCTTAGTAATTAAAACTCCATAGGGAGGCATCTTGCAACTAGAAAAATTTCTCTAGACCATGAGGCTAGAAAGTCTCATGATTTCACCAGCCAAACTTAGAGTAAAATGGTTAATTAAGGAAAAAATAAATAATGATTAGGGTTGTTTTTTGGTAGGGTTTTTTTTTTAACTTTTGTATAGGAAACTGCTAGTGTAAGATGTTCGGTAGTTGGGGTATATTTAGCTAGGGCTCCTTCAAGTATTCTACGAAGAACAGGATTCTCTGCCATTGTGCATGTGCCTGTTGAACTTCTCACTCTTAATTTTCAAAAATGTGATTGTGTCCTTGACTGTTCGCTCTGAAGCTGAACATTTGTGGACAGGGAATATTTGTGTATAGCTCTTCCAGGTACGGTGTCCATGTGACCTCAATTATAATTGTAGCTATTTGAAAATTGTTAAGTTGGAGGATGTTGACAGGAAAATAGTTGTGTGCATGATTTCTCCAGTGGGCTGAGTGTGATGCTGAGAGCTTGTCCTTTCAGCTCACCCACAGGATGGGTCTAGACATGGCACGTTCACTGTGCTCACTGAGAAGGCTCATTGCTCCCAGATCACGGCAGCAGATCTCCTAGGATGTTATGTGAGCAGTTCGTCAGCAAAAGTGATCTGGCGGGGAATGAAATAATTGAGTTTTTTGTAATGTAATATTACATTCCATTTGCACTTTTCCTTAGGGAAGAACTTTGTGGTTTTCTGCCTTCTGAGTGGAATGTTACAGAAGATATTAAGAAATCTTGGAATAGACCTATTTTATTAATAATGTGTTTGTTTTAGAATAATATTTTGTTTTTCATAGTTTCCCATACTCCTAGAAAGCCATAAATTCTCAATTGTCCAGAGGCTCTCCCAAACACTCATTACAGAGGAAGGCCTAGAGTAGACACGAGTGGATGCTGCCCCTGGAACACTGACACAATGATGGATGTTTTCTGGTTCCATACACATGTCCACCCACTGGTGCATGAACATCTTAGATATGGTGGTGCCCAGGGCCCAGCAAGTGTGAATATTGTAGGAAGGACAGTTTTCTTAGTTACAGAGGTACTTGGTTTAGCACTTTCAGATTTCTTTGCAACCCACAATAGGAAACATTTTCTGTCGCAACCCATTAAACACATTTATAGCGAACATTTAGTTAATATCAGTGTGTGTATATTAAATATATATTGAACAAAACTACTTCCTTGCTATGCAAGATGCTCAGGTTTTTTTCATTCCATCATTTTTTAAATTGGGGAATAGATTTTTTTCATTTTTGAACAAGTACTTTTGGTACTCATACAAGTACAAGTATCTGTGGTACACAAGTCAAAGAATGAAAACGTGAATAGCAAAAAGTCCGTCTCAATCTCTTTTCCAGCAACCCGCCTGCCCTAAAGGTCTCTGCTGTCAGCAGTTTCCTTTGTATCTGCATATATAGGTAGGTGTGAGTATATAGAATTCCTCTGATTCAGGCAGGTTTTTATTCCTGCTTTTCAGTTTTAGGAGGCAATGATCTTGCTAAGAAACTGATTTAAAAAGTTATGAAGCTTCTGTGAGTCGTTCATTTTAGGAGCATACATCTTTGATCTCAGCCATCCACTGTTGTTGATAAAGGTGATGGTTCCATTGGCTTTCACTGGGCCAGTTGTTCACTTTGAGGTCCGTACAGCTGTGAAGCCCTTGCTTCTGCCCCAATCTAATTGCCCTCTTCTGGTACATATCACCATCCTGGAGTTTCCCTTTGCCTCTTAGGTTGGATGTCCTGTGCCCTGTGTATTCCCTTTTTTGATTTGTTCCCCCTTTGGTGGCATGCATCCTTGAGTAGTTTCCCTATAAATGTGAGAGATAAAAATATTCAGATCTTAAGTGTCTGAAAATGCCTTTATTCTCTTCTCCCATCATTGATAGTTTAACAGCATGTAGTTAGATATCATTCAGAATTTCAAAGGCATTGCTCTGTGGTCTAGCAGCCATTTTAAGTGACAATTTTCTTTTTCTCTTGAAGCTCTTAGAACTTTGGTTTTTCCCTTGTGGTCCATGATGATGTATCTTGTTATGCTTTCATCCTCTACCCTTGGCACTCTTGAACCTTTCCAAACAAAACCTTATGTCCTGAAAAAATATAATTACTTAATTGATAATTGCGTCGCCACTGTGTTTCCCACTTCCTTTTTCTGGAACTCCTACTATTTGGATGTTGGACCTCCTCTACTGACCTTCCACTTTCTTTTCTTTTCTCTCCTATTTTTCCATCTCTTATTTTGTTCTATAATGCTTTTTGGAAGGTTTCTTCAACTTTACCTTTCAATCCTATTGAATTTTTTTTCCTGCCTCGCATCATGTATTTCAATATCCAAGTTTCTTTGATTTTCTAAATGTTCCTTCCCTTTTAAAAAAAAAATTTTTTTTTTCCCCCGGTACGCGGGCCTCCCACTGTTGTGGCCTCTCCCGTTGCGGAGCACAGGCTCCGGACGTGCAGGCTCAGCGGCCATGGCTCACGGGCCCAGCCGCTCCGCGGCATGTGGGATCTTTCCAGACCGGGGCACGAACCCGTGTCCCCTGCGTCGGCAGGCGGACTCTCAACCGCTGCGCCACCAGGGATGCCCTAAAAAAAATTTTTATTGGAGCATAGTTGATTTACATAAATATTCCTTCTTAATGGTCTTTTTTTTTTTTTGGCTGTGTTGGGTCTTCGTAGCGCGCAGGCTTTCTCTAGTTTTGGCGAGCAGAGGCTACTCTTCGTTGCAGTGCGCAGGCTTCTCATTGCTGTGGCTTCTTGTTGCAGAGCACAGGCTCTAGGCGTGAGGGCTTCAGTAGTTGCAGCACGTGGGCTCAGTAGCTATGGCATGCGGGCCCTGATTAACATTCATTTTTGTTTTGAGTGGAATATTGCCTCTCAAAAAATTTTTTAAAGTTTTTGAAGAATCCATGGAATCCACTGTATCTTCCATGTTGCTTTGATCTGTTTATTTGGGTCTATTTGTTCACCTTAGAGGATTTCCTTAAATGCCTAGTGAACCGTGTTTATCACAAGAGAAAGGATGGAAATGCTGATTGGAAGCTCTGCACGAGTGGCTGGGTCTTATAAACTCAGAGGTTCCTTTTCTATAGGGTATCTGGGTAGGCAGTTATATGAAGGACCCCTGGGGTCAGTGTCTGAAGGTCTTTCCTCTTGGTCTAGCTCCCTAGCGAAGAATCTCTGACTCCTGACTGAGGGTAGAGGTCTGATGTCAGCACCTGGGAGCTGAGTGGGAAGGAGGTGTGTGGTGCGGGGAGAGGCATATGGTCACTTAATCCCTGTTCCTGGTTGTACCTGAGCCCAGTTGTGTGTGCTCTCTCCCGGTCTAGAGACCCTCTGTTTTACTCTTTCCATAGAAGCATTGTGACTTCTGTTGAATGAGGACTTCAGGTTGGAGGGGGCAGGGGTCTAGGGATCTATTTGTATTTGCATGTTTTCTTTCTTTTTCTTTTTTCTTTTGGCCACGCCGTGCGGCTTTCGGGATTTTAGTTCCCCAACCAGGGATCGAACCCGAGGCCCCGGCAGTGAGAGCACCGAGTCCTAACTGCTGGACCGCCAGGGAATTCCCTCCGTTTGTATTTGGAACACCTTTTACCCCATCCTCCTTAACTCAGCTCCCTCTCTCCTTCATGACTGAGGCATCTAGTGGTATAGTGCCTGAATCTTTGGAGGAGTCACTGTGCACCTCATGATTTCTCAGCGTTTAGAAAAGCTGGTCTAGACTCAGCTTTCTTGAATCTACTAACTCCTTTGCCACTTGTCCATATGCTTTCTGGCTTCCACAGTTTTGTTGTCAGCGCCTGTTTTCCTGGTGTGTGTGTTTAAATTCCTTTATGATAGTTTCCATTGGGTTTGGGGTAGAAGCAATATTAGATGGGTGCTTCCT